GTGGAAGGCAACCAGAAAAGAGGAAGACCAAATATGAGATGGGCTGATTCCCTGAAGCAAGCCAAGAGCTAAGCAGGGCTGTTGAAGATAGGACATTCTGAAGATCACTCATTCATAGGGTCAACATAAATTGAAGGCAATGTGACAGCATGTAACAACAACAACAACAATATTATAAGAAATTACCTGTTTCTAGACTTATCAAGCCATAGACATATAGGTTATTTATGTATTTTTAACTGTCCCGCCCCGCCCCAGAGTAGGACAGAAAGGACCAGCAAACCCAGCAGGCTGCTGCATTCAAGGCAAACTTACCCGTATTTTTCGATCCATAAGACACACCTCTCCATAAGACGCACCAAATTTTTAGAAGAAAACAGGAAAAAATAATCTCTTTTCTTCTCCTAAAAATTGGTGAGCCTTATGGAGAGGTCCATCTTATGGAACACACCCTAGGACCCTTTGGAGGCTCACCCTGCTCCTTCCCGGGGGTCAGAGGGGGCGAAATCACCAGCTTCTGGGACTCTTTTGAAGCTTCCCAAGCCTCAAAAGACTCCCAGAAGCTGGCGATTTCGGCTGCGCTGGCCCCATGCGGGGGTGGGGGGAAGTGTCACAAGGGTCCTGGAAGGCTCACTCGGACCCTTGCAACCCTCCCCCACCCCCCCACAGGGCCAGGGGGGTGAAATCACCAGTTTCTGGGAATCTTTTGAGGCTTGGAAAGCCTCAAAAGACTCCCAGAAACTGGCTATTTCACCGGCGCTGGCCCTGTGCAGGGTTGGGAGGAGCATCACAAGGGCCTGGAAGGCTCACTCATACCCTTGCGACGTTCCCCCCCACGGGGCCAGCGTGGACGAAATTGCTGCCTCCGTTCAATAAGACGCACGGACACCACCCCCACATTTTTTTGGGGGGGGAAATGCGTCTTATGGAGCAAAAATATGGTAGTTTCTCATGAATTTCAACTTATTATAACCTCTGAATGTACCTACTGGGCTTATAGGTAGTTTTCAAAAGACTGCTTCTCTAATTTACCATAAGGTACCAAGCAGAGTTTAGGAAAAGAGAGATGATGGAAAGGGAAGAGGGAAAGTGAAGAACCAAAGAAACATGTATAATGCACATACCTGCTGCTCAGGATAACAAAGAAAGTCCTGCCATACAAATACTGAAGTGATTCCAGTGTTCTGACAGTTAAAGATCATTAGTTCTCTTTAAAGCTTTCCCTTAATGCATGTCTGTCTAGATAGGGTTTTAAAATCAGGTTTCTTAGTACTGTATTTTGTTGTAATCTTTTTAAATACAGTAATGTTTTTGTTCAACATTTTGAATATAAGGTACAGTGGTGCCTCGCACAACGGGCGCCTCGTAGAGTGATGAATTCGCTCTACGAGGCCGTTTTAGCGATCGCAAATGCGATCACAAAACGGTGCCCGTATAGCCGGGAAATCGCAGAACAAAGGTTGGTAAGCTGCTCGCTTAACTACCTTCGCTTTGCGACCCGCCGATCAGCTATTCCGCGGCTTCAAAATGGCCACCGGAACAGCCGAAAGGGGCTGGGGTGCAGCGTTTTCGCGCCCTTGGTAAGCAAGGGGAGCGCGCGAAAACGCTGCGGAAGCCCTGAAATGGCTGCGCGCAACCATTTCGGGGCTTCCGGCAGAGTTTTCGCGCGCTCCCCTTGCTTACCAAGGGCGCGAAAACGCTGCGCCCCGGCCCCTTTCGGCTGTTCCGGCGGCCATTTTTGACCCGCCAAACAGCTGATGGCAGCCATTTTTGCGCGCTGTTTAATGCGTTCCAATGCCTTTTTCTGTTCCGTAGTGCGATGTTTCCCACAGCGAAGGTTAATCCGGAACGGATTAACCTCACTGTGCGGGGCACCACTGTATATTTAATTATTTTTAATATCTAAACAATTTATTGTGCTTATCTATTTCTTTTAATGATGTAAGCCGCCTTGTGTCCTTTTATGGAGAAAGGCAGGGTTAAAATACAGTGGTGCCTCGCACAGCGAGGTTAATCCGTTCCGGATTAACCCTCGCTATGTGAAAGCATCGCTGTACGGGAAGGAAAAAGCCATTGGAATGCATTAAACTTAGTTTAATGCATTCCAATAGCAGCTTTACTCGTACAGCGATGCTTTTCCAATGGCCGGCAGCCATTTTCGTGCCCTCCCCTCGCTTAACGAGGGCGCGAAAACGCTGCCGCAGCCATTTTGGGGCTTCCAGTGGCCATTTTGAGGCTTCCGGTGGCCATTTTGGACCCGCCGAACAGCTGATCGGCGGGTCGCAAAGCGAAGGTCGGTAAGCGAAACGCTTACCGACCTTCGCTGTGCGATCGCATTAGCGATTGAAAAAATGTCCTCGTAGAGCGAATTCATCGCTCTATGGGGTGTTTGTTGTGCGAGGCACCACGTATTTTAAATTATTATCTTGAGTGCATAATGCTTTTAAATACCCAAATATGGATGACCATAATTGAGAATTAACTTGATGGGATGTAATGATTATTATTTACTTCACTGGAATAAGATTTGCATGGAAGATGCCACTTTTGCACTCATCACACTATTCTTACCATCTAAATACAGCCTGAAAACTGCTGAAGATGAGAAAACCATCCACATCACTTTTCCATTTACTGATCTTTGTCTTCAGTTTGCATTTCATTTCATGTACAGGGAAAAGTTCCCTCCATAATCAAAAAGAGGGACATTTTATACTAGCAGCTGTATTTTGCACACATGGGCTGCATTTTATACCTGCCACACATATTACTATGTTCTATATCCTTGAGGGATAGAAGTACAGTTTTCACTTGTGCCACTAAAATGTTAAAGTACTCTGCTTCCTAGATAGCTGCTGAAACAGTTTTGAAATGAAATTGTCTAGAACAGCAACAGTTACAGCATGGTAGAACTAATTCTTGTGCCGATTCTCATATCCTCAACATTGTTCTCCTTAAGCTTCTTACTAGCAATTAGCATAGTATGACTGCTTTTTCATTGCACAAAACATAAGATAACTACAACATAATTTACTTCTAATAATGTTGTAATTTTCTCTACTTCCTCTGCTTCAAGCTAGAACTGTGAGTTACCCTGTTTTGCTTGGGTATCACTTATTTCTGTTTCAGGGAACCAGAGGCTTGGCCTCTCCGACTCCCTGTGTTCAGTTTTACACCTGAGAGGGACCCATACCCCTCCAACGATGTTTTCAGAGTTAAATTAATTCAGCAGGCATAAAGATTTAGGAAGTACCAGAACATACAATGTTATGTGGTGGCTTAAGCATCTGGAGGGGGAAGCAGCTTTTATTTCCCCTTCTCAAGGAATAAAAGCACTTCTTTATATATAAAAAAGCTTGTTCTATCATTTTTATACTTTATGATGCAAATACATCAATGGGGGCGGGAGGGGAACCTGGCATTGCACCTTTTAATACTGCTCACAGAAGCTACGCTACATGCATCTGAAGAACTAAGCTAACAAAAAAAGTTGCAAAAGATCTAACTCTCAACATCTGGCATAAACATGTTTGGGAATTAGCTTTCTTGGAAAAGTTAATACAAGAAGTGAGCAGAGCCAAAGATCAAGCAGTCTCAAGTGACTCTGACATGATCTGGATGCCGTTTACTCAGGGGGAGGGGATGGAGCTTTGGAGCCACTGAACGTAAGTGGTGTTGCTTGAAACAGTATGCTGAGTTGACATTCATCCACCTATATGGGCACTTTCAGGGAGATGCTGGCAGAATTTGTGGTTTGTTTCAGTCTAAGGCACACTAAAGGAGGAGGATGCTCCTCTTGTATCACAGTTCTTGGAGTGGATAAGAGGCTTGGGAGACGGAGTTTCTGACTCACATGATTGTTTGCTTTTGCCTAATCACTATGTGGCTGTTCCACAGTTTTATGTCATATATTATAAAAATCTATGACAATGAAAAAAAATTACAATTTCAAAGAATGGAACTACAGTCCATGAAAGCTTATGACAAATAAAATTTGTCAGTCATTAAGATGCCAAACATCCATCGTGGGATAGTGGACAGAGTGATGGGCCAGGGCCTTGAGAATGTGGGCTCAATTCTACACTCAGCCATAGTAATTCACAGGATAGATGGAACCATTTCTTAAATATTTCACTTACCCTGAAAGCTCTCTCAGGGTTGCTGCAAGTCAATTCCAACTTGATGACACATAACATGCACAAACTGCCACGGGTTCTTTGCTGGATTTCCTGCAATTAATATGGCTGGCTATCTCCTTGAAGAAGTTAAATACAAGACAGTGTGAGTTTGACTAACTTAAATGACAGCTGAAGCTCCTGCTTTATTATAAAGATACAGTACTCAGATGCAAAAACTACTGAGCATGTTACCCATGCTGGCTACTAGAATTCCAGCAGAACACAGTTTAGAGTAAAGGAGATTTCTTATTTGTATAGATGGATATGAATCTATACTAAATCAATTATTGTACTGGGTGAGAGGTTCAAGATTAACAGTTCAGAATAAACAAATTTTTATAAACGAGTGCCTTGTTTTGATGTGTAACCTGTATCCTGAACAAGAAGCTACTGCTAGGACAGAATATGGAGAGACAGAATGTTTTCCTATCAACAAAGGTGTCAAATCAGGGTGCAATTTATCCCCTCATCTCTTCAATACATATGTAGACCACATAACGCAGAAAGCCATTTGATTCACATACAGAGTGAAAACTGGTGGAAGAAACATCAATAATCAAAGACATGCAGATAACACCATCTTACTGGCAGAAAGCTGCGATGATTTGGAACAACTTTTAGTGAAAGTGTAAGAGCAGAACTGTAGCTGAACATTAAGACAAAAATCATGACTACAGAAAAACTGCACAGCTTTAACACTGACAACGAAGAGATAGAAATTGTTAACATTTTTACACCTCAGTCATCAATCCAAAGGGAAACTGCAGCCAAAAAACTAGAAGCAGACTGTCGAAGTCCAAGATATCACAGGCAGCCTCTCACCATGGCCAAGGGCACTAGGACCCAGTCTGCTATGCAGGGTATTGAGTCCAAAGACAGACACTGTGCAGATGGCCACAACCAAGCAGAGGCTGGCAGGTCACACGACCAGGAGCCAGAACAAGGCACCTAGATGCAAGAGACCAGGAGAAGCAAGCAAGGACCAAGGCAGGAACAGGAACACTACCGTCCAGACACAGAGATGCAGGAGGCAAGAGCAAAGGCCAAGACTGGAACAGGAGAAGGATGGCTAGAATGCAGGGACTCTGGAGTTCAGAAGCAGCCAAAAACCTTTGTTCCTGAGGCAAGTTCTGGGAGGGAGAACCACTTCTCAAATAGGCCTTCCTTCCAGGTTTCCAGGTGAGCCTCATGACTGGCCCAACAGCTGCTACACAGGCCAGGGCCTGAGTCTGCAAACACCAGGCCATTCCTGGGTGCAGCTGCCAGGGTAGTGTGGGCTAGATCCTGACAGTACCCCCACCCCAGAACAACAAGGGAAGTCCCCCTTTCACGGTCAGGGCTTGTCGGGGTAGTGGCAGTGAAAAGCCCAGAGGCTGGCAGGAGTGTGGACATTCTCTGCAGGTTCCCAGGAGCAATCCTCTGGACCGTAACCTTACCAGTCCACCAGACAGTGTACTCAACCATGGAGTCTAAGATTCTGGCCACCACAAATTCCTCATGACCCTGCATGTGGACTGGCGGCGGTAGCGAATGATGTCCCAGGAAGGGGTCCTCCATGGCCAGTTTCAGTTTGGACACATGAAATACAAGGTGCATCCAGAAATTGTGGAGGGAGGCCCAACCTATAGGCAACCGGGTTGACTTGCTGTGAGATCTGGAAGGGCCTGTGAAACTGGGAGTCCAGCTTAGCTGAAGGGTGACCCAACTAGCAGTGGGCCATGGACAGCCAGACTTTATCCCCTACGCAGAGTTGGGGCCCAGGACAGTGCTTGGTTGCTCAGCCTGCATCTTGTGTGACGCCTTGAAGTGGTCTAAGTGGCAGCAGAGCTCAGCTCGGACCTCCTGAAGGGTCTGAATACAATCAGTGGCCGATGGGACCAGAGAATCAGTGGGTATGCAGGGACGATCCCATGGGTGATAGCCATAGTTCAGATAGAAAGGGCTACACTGCATGGAGGAATGTACAGCATTGTTATACGCAAACTTGGTTAGCAGGAGCAAATCCGCCCAGTTCTCCTGATGAAAATTCAAGAAGCACCAAACATATTGTTCGAGAAAATGGTTGACATGTTCTGTCTGGCCATCAGTCTCCAAGTAACAGGCCAAGAACAATTGATGTTCGATGCCCAGGAGCTTCAGGGAAGCTGCCCAAAAGCGTGCCGTGAAATATACCCCTCGATTGGAGATGATTGCATTAGGAATGTCACACAACTGAAAGATGCAATCCTGGAGAAGATGGGCTGTCTGGGGCGCTGTGGGCAGCTTGAGAACCGGGACAAAGCATGTCATCTTAGTGTGTCCACAATGACTAAAATGACCGTGTGGCTTCAAGATGGGGGCAGATCCACAATAATGTTGAGGGAAATCACTGACCATGTGGACGTGTGGGCATGGGTTGCAGCATGTCTGAGGCTGCTGGTCAGGCAACTTGGCATGGGTGCAGACTTCACATACTTGCGGATGTCTCCCCGCCATGCTGGCCACCAGTAAGCCCGAGCGCCAGGGGAGTAGTCTTGGTGAAGCCCCAGTGTCCTGCAGTGTGGGCATCATGAGCCTACTGAAGCACCTGGAGACACAGTGGGCCAGCTGGGATGTAGAGGTGCTTACGGACAAACAGGCCGTCATCCCAGCAGTCGAACCCTGGGGGCACATAAACACCTGGTGACAAAAGTCCGGGTCCAGGGTTCCACAGACTAAATTCTCTGGGGCACTGGACTGGGGTCCTCCTCAGACCTGTCCTTGCAGGAGAGGCCACAGCTCTCCTGTTCTTCATACCTGGCCCATAGGTGATCTGGAAATCGAACCTGGAGAAAAACTGAGCCCAGCGTGCATGTCGGGGGCACAGGAACCATTGACTGGAAGTACTCCCAATTCCCATGGTTGGTGAGCACTTGCACCAGGTATTTTGCCCCTGCCAAGAGATGATGACATTCTTCGAACACAGCCTTGATGGCCAGCAGTTCCAGCAGCTGTTACACAGGCCAGGGCCCGAGCCTGAAAACACCAAACCATTCCTGGGTCAGGCTGGCCCCAATCCTGTGGCTGCCAGGGCGATGTGGGCCAGATCCTGACACTGAGACTTGGAAGGGCAGCAATGAAAGAATTAGAAAAGATGATCAAGTGTAAGGATGTGTTACTGAACAAAGAGACCAAATTCAGCAACACTCTTTTATTTCTGATCGCAATGTATGGACAGAAAAGAAAGATGACAGGAAAAGAATTTATTTCTTTGAAATATGGTGTTAGAGAAGAGCTTTGTAGATACTCTGGATGGGTAGAAAGATGAACAAGTGGGTCCTACAACAAATAAAGTCTGAACTATCTCTGGAGGCAAAAATGTTGAAACTGAGGCTGTCCTCCTTTCGGCACATCATGAGAAGGCAAGATGCTCTGGAAAAGACAATAATGCTGGGAAAGGTGAAAAGCATCAGGAAAACAGGAAGACCAAATACAAGATGGATTGACTCCCTAAAAGAAGCCAAAGGCATGGGTTTGCAAGAGCTGGGCAGGGTTGTCAAGGAAAGGACATTTTTGAGATGATCATTTATAGGGTCGCCATAAGTCAGCATGCAGCAAGAACATAAACGAATAGCAGGAAACAAAAGAGAAAGGAATTAGAAATGTGAGAGCTAGGTACATAAGTCTGCTAAGCAAGGGTCATTTCACATGTAAACATTTCCTAAAAGAGGATACTTTCAGCTCAGAAAAACAACACAACAATGGTCACATGTATTAAGACCGTATACCCAATACTGTACTTCTCAACATATATCCATTATATAGTGGGAAACTGTACAAACAAGGTGTACAAGATTTTTGTTCACACAAAGTAAAAGCCAAGTAAGATGTAGCTATATGTGAATTATCTATCCTTCAGAAAATGTTCATCAGCTTCAGTTGAAAAAAGCAAACAAACCAGATGAATGGATCCAGGAAGCCCTCTGTTCCTGCAGTTCTAAGATGCTGATGAATATAAGAATGGTGCTGTTCTGACCTTGCCATACTAGATTTTAGGGCTTCTGTAATGTACCATGCGTGTCTCTCGTCTAGGTACTCTTGCATAATTTTTATTTTAAAGATTCATTACTGCAAGCCTAAATGGCATTACTATTACTCAGAGTTCCTGCAGTCTCTTACAAGTCCCTATCTATTGCTCATGTTTATTTCACTACAGGGACTAACTACAAACTACTCTACACCAATTTGGTTTGTGATCAGGCCAAGGCTGCCTTTAGAAACACCCTCTTCATCCTTTTCCTCACACTAGTTTCCACCAACACTCAAGTGACAATGTCCCTTTATGGCTATTAACAAGAATGCAACTGAGCAGAAAAGTTATCGGCTCTTGCTAAGGAAATGTATACATTTAGGCTGGGGAAAACAAACTTGCTGGAGAGCCATGGAGTCTTCCTAAGTATTTAGGGGAGTTACTTACGTCTATTAAAAGTAGATCTTAAAGCCAAGGGCTTAAGTGCATGCAATGAGATATTAAGCAACAGAGATCCCACCCCCAACAATTTGTCAGTCACCCAAACCTTAGGAGATCATACAGTCTTGAAATGGTGGGCAAGGAACTGCAGGTAACATCTATAATTACTTTATTCCCTCCTCAAAATACTAGGCTGGCAAGGCCACTTAATTGTAAACTTAACTGTCTTTTAACTTACTACTATTCTATGCTGTGAGCAGCAACTGTAATGGCCAAGATCTCAAACTCCACTTCCAACCTAGTTTATGGAGTATCAGAAGACAAAAAAGTGGCACTTATTTCAAATTAATGGCACGTATAAGAAAATGCTACAGAATATGCAATCAAAACGGTATGGGACTCCACTCCCTATCATTGTGGAATGGCACATTATATTATAATCTGTAATATAAATTAATATTTATAATAGCAACATTTTACAAACATTTAAAAGGTCTTTCATCTGTAACCACTATGTTCTATGAGATCTGACTGATTGATGGTGACCTTCCCAGGTGGTTTATTGGCTCCTCCTTCTGGTGGAGGCTCTGGGGTGGTCCTGCTTTCCATGACCACACCAGTGGCAGGGCATGTATCCTTATCGGCCACCCGCCGGTACTCCCAAGTGCTTTCAACTGGGATCTCAGTTTTTGGGGGGGGCAGGGTGGAGACTCAAACTCACAATTCATGACTCTGCATCCAGGCCCTCCAACCCACAGAGACTCCTGTTGACCAACTTGCCACAGCCAGGGCATGAGTGGCCAGTAACATTTGGCCAAAGCAGTGAGAAAACATTTTGGCTTCCCTCCAGACTTCAGAAAGGTTGTGTGTGGCTCACCCTTCCCTTTAAACTTTCTCGGAGGTGCGACCTGCTGACCCGTTGATGGGAGACACCTCTGGAAGCCAAGATCCCCTCTTCACACCTTACTTATCCGGAGTGGGGAAATTAACTGTACGCTTCTTTCAACTCCTAAGGTTCCCCCTCCCCCCCCCAGCAATAACAGCTCCCGAAAGAGCTTATTTAGTGGTTCTGACCGGTGTGTTTGTATTTGTATTTTGGGGGGGGGGAGTGGAGAGATAAGAGATTTCTCTTTTCTCTGCTGACGAAGAAGGCTCACGGTTCCCAAGCCAATGCGTGAGTTATTCCACAAGATGCCACCAGTCTCTCTTTCTCTCTCTCTTGACACACAGAGCGGCGGCGGCGGCAAGAGCATCCCCCC